ATACACAAATATATATGTGTGTAAATACATGTAAATATAAAATGTCGGCTACAGAACGGATAGCAGAGTGGTGAAGAGTGGGGGCCCTGGACTCCTATACATAAAAGTGCATATCACAGCACCATCATTTTTTAGCTGGCTAATCTTGGATAAGATACTAAGTCACTGTGCCTGAATTTCCTCATTTTTATTTTATTCTATTTTTTAAAGTTTACTTATTTTGAGAGAGAGAGAAAGAGAGAGAAAGCACGTGTAAAGGGGAAAAAGAGAGGGAAACTGAGAATTCCAAGCAAGCTCAGTGCTGTCAGCACAGAGCCCCACACAGGGCTTGATCGCACCAACTGCAAGATCATGACCTGAGCTGAAATCAATAGTCAGATGCTTAACCAATTGAGCCACCCAGCTGCCCCTTTTTTTTTTAAGTTTATTTATTTAAGAGAGAGAGAGGGAAAGCGAGAGCAGGAGAAGGGTAGAGAGGGAGACGGACACTTACACTGAGCCACCCAGACATCCCTAAATTTCCTCATTTTTAAAATGAAGACAATAATAGTTTCTAATCTAATTTTTAAGATTCTCGTGAAGATTTCAAAGGATGATACATATAAAGAGCTTAGCACATTCAGCACTGAGAGGCATTATTATTTGTTTGCAGAAACTAGTATCAAAAGAAAATGATTTCTTTAACCTAAAAGATAATGAATGAATACCAAATGTCTTGAGATTTCAGTTATGATCAACTTCATATCAGTCAAAAAGAAAGGGGAAAACAGCTGTGTCAAAGGGGACCAGCTCAGAGTGCTTAAATTAAAAACAAAAATGTAAACAGGGCACCTGGGTGGCTCAGTCGATTAAGCGTCCAGCTCTTGATTTCGGCTCTAGTCATGATCTCACAGTTCATGAGATCAAGCCCCACATCAGGTTCTGTGATGACAGCATGGCACCTACTTGGGACTCTCTCTCCCTCTCTCTGCCCCTCCCCCACCCATGTGCTCTCTCCTCCTCTCTCAAACATTAAAAAAATGTAAACAAAACATAAAATTCCTCTTTACAACTAGATTATGGATGTCAAAATATTTTTAGAACAATGTATTGAAGAATGATCTTTATTTGAAAGTACCTTTGATTCTGCTTGGTTTATTCAAGTTTATGCTCAATAGGAGAGATTTGGATTTTTTTTCTTAAATGTTTATTTTTGAGAGAGAGAGCAGGAGAGGGGTAGAGAGAGAGGAGGACAGAGGATCTGAAGCGGCTCTGTGCCAACAGCAAAAGAGCCCAATGTGGGGCTCAAACCCCTGAACCATGAGATCATGACCTGAGCCGAAGTCACATGCTTAATTGACTGAGCTACCCAGGTGCCCTGAGATTCAGATATTTTTACTTTTTTATTTTTTTTATTATTTTTTTTAACGTTTATTTATTTTTGAGACAGAGAGAGACAGAGAGAGGGAGACACAGAATCTGAAGCAGGCCCTGGGCTCTGAGCTGTCAGCACAGAGCCCGACATGGGGCTCGAACTCACAGACTGTGAGATCATGACCCGAGCTGAAGTCGGACGCTCAACCGACTGAGCCACCCAGGCGCCCCTCTTTTTTTTTTTTTTTTAATTTTTGAGATTAAGATTTTTTTTTTAATTTTTTTTAATGTTTATTTATTTTTGAGACAGAGAGAGACAGAGCATGAACGGGGGAGGGGCAGAGAGAGGGAGACACAGAATCGGAAGCAGGCTCCAGGCTCTGAGCCATCAGCCCAGAGCCTGACGCGGGGCTCGAACTCACGGACAGCAAGATCGTGACCTGAGCTGAAGTTGGACGCCCAACCGACTGAGCCACCCAGGCGCCCCTCAGATATTTTTAAAAAGCATCCTTACTGCCTGTTTAAATTTCCATAAGGAAGAATTATCTAACCACATGGACTCTGTAACCATTTGTAAGAGTGAGAGTTAACACAACTTTATTTAGTAGTAATTAAGGTACTGAAGGTAAGAAATCATAATTTTTGTCATTTACCAGAAGTTGTAAACTCAAGGGCACCTAGGTGGCTGAGTTGGTTAAGCATCTCTCTTTTTTTTTTTTTATGAAATTTATTGTCAAATTGGTTTCCATACAACACCCAGTGCTCATCCCACAGGTGCCTCCTCAATGCCCATCAACCACTTTCCCCCCCCCCCCCCCCCCCCCATCAACCCTCAGTTTGTTTTCAGTATTTAAGAGTCTCTTTGGTTTCCCTCCTTCCCTCTCTGTAACTTTTTTTCCCCCTTCCCCTCCTCCCTGGTCTTCTGTTGAGTTTCTCAGAATCCATATATGAGTGAAAACATATGGTATCTGTCTTTCTCTGGCTGACTTATTTCACTTAGCATAACACTCTCCAGTTCCATCCACGTTGCTACATATGGCCAGATTTCATTCTTTCTCATTGCCAAGTAGTATTCCAATGTATATAAGCGTCTGACTCTTGATTTGGGCTCAGGTCATGATCTCATGGTCATGAGATCAAGCCCCACGTCAGGTTCTGCACTGAACATGAAGCCTGCTTGGGATTATTTCTCTCTCTCCCTCTGCCCATCCTCTGCTTGTGCTTTCTCTCTCTCCCACAATAAATAAACATTAAAAAAAAAAAAAAAAAAGAAGAAGTTCTAAACTCAAATGTCTACATGGGCCAGCCATCAGAAACAGTCAAGTAAAATCAATAGGGAAGAACTAAGACCACAGTGACTGACAAGTACTCACCAAAATGCATTCAAACTCAAGGTTTTTTTTGCTTTCTATTTATGTATTTTTAAATGTTTACTTATTTTGAAAGAGAAAGCAAGCACAAGTGGGGGAGGGGCAGAGAAAGAGGGAGAGACAGGATCCCAAGCAAGCTCGGCACTGTTAGAGCAGAGCCCGATGTGGGGTTTAAACCCACGGGGGCGCCTGGGTGGCGCAGTCGGTTAAGCGTCCGACTTCAGCCAGGTCACGATCTCGCCGTCCGTGAGTTCGAGCCCCGCGTCAGGCTCTGGGCTGATGGCTCAGAGCCTGGAGCCTGTTTCCGATTCTGTGTCTCCCTCTCTCTCTGCCCCTCCCCCGTTCATGCTCTGTCTCTCTCTGTCCCAAAAATAAATAAACGTTGAAAAAAAAATTTAAACCCACGAACTGTGAGATCCTGACCTAAGCTGAAACCAAGAGTCACATGCTTAACCAACTGAGCCACCCAGGCACACCCTCCTTGTTTTGCTTTTTAAACATTGTGCCATGTGTTCAGGCTGAGTTCAGCTCAGAGGGGCACCTATTTTGACCACTGAATTTCAGATATGAAGTTCTTAGGACCTCTATGATATGTATTTGTATGCAAACTTGTTTTATAAAAGATATTAACAAAATGGAATATTTCTGAAAATGAATATTCATGCACATCAAAAACATCAGGAAATGTTTCAATGACTTCAAAAAACCAGTCGTATCATTAAAGATACCCTAAGCTGGTTATCTCTCCCTGTCTATAGTCACAATTAAGATAGATTTTTTTATGTCGTAAGATATAATCTTTAAGACATTTTAAGATTCCATGACTGGGGCGCCTGGGTGGCTCAGTCGGTTAAGTATCCGACTTCGGCTCAGGTCATGATCTCATGGTTTGTGAGTTCGAGCCCTGCATCAAACTGCATGGACAGCTCAGAGCCTGGAGCCTGCTTCAGATTCTGTGTCTTCCTCTCTCCCTGTCCCTCCCCCACTCACACTCTGTCTCTCAAAAATAAATAAACACTAAAAAAAAAAAAAAATTTAAGCAGGATTCCATAATTAATATAACAAACTTCCTTCAAACTGGTAAAACATGTGTACCAATGAAATCAATTATTACCAAAAAAATCTGAAAATCGCTGTATTCATTCATCACTGAAATGTTTTGTCTAAGTATTATTAATAAAAAGTAATAATTTGCATTTTTTAAAGTTTATTTATTTTGGAGAAAGAGTATGAGCAGAGGAAGGGCAGAGAAAAAGAGAGAGACAGAATCCCAAGCAGGCCCCACACTGTCAGTGCAGAGCCTGATGCAGGCTTGAACTCACGAACCATGAGATCATGACCAGAACTGAAATCAAGAGTCAGGCACAACCCACTGAGCCACCCAGGAACCTCTCAATTTGAATTTTTTACATGATACCAAAGTAGTCTTTATTCCACTAAAACACCTGTCAACCATGTTTTTAAATTTTTTTTTCAAATAAAATAGCAACCCCACTGTTATTAAGTTCTTTCTAGATGTTCTCCAATAAGTTACCAGGAAAAAAGCGTACACTTAAGTGAACAACATCCAATACCCCCAAGGTCCAAAGTAATCTCTTTCCACGGGATTCCCTAGCACTCATATTACTACTGTTTTATACTATAATCATATTTTGTTATGTTTTATCTTCTATAATATACTTTAAACTATACAATGGTAGAAAGCATGTCTTACACACATTTTATCCCCATCAAAAAGCATTTTGTACATGTACAGAAGTGTTCATAAAAAAAATCCAAGAGAAACCTACCATTTCTCAAGATAATGATTATCTCATGTTAAACTCTTTCAGGGGCGCCTGGGTGGCGCAGTCGGTTAAAGCGCCGACTTCAGCCAGGTCACGATCTCGCGGTCCGGGAGTTCGAGCCCCGCGTCGGGCTCTGGGCTGATGGCTCAGAGCCTGGAGCCTGTTTCCGATTCTGAGTCTCCCTCTCTCTCTGACCCTCCCCCGTTCATGCTCTGTCTCTCTCTGTCCCAAAAATAAATAAAAACGTTGAAAAAAAAATTAAAAAAAAAAATTCTCTATAATTCAGAGGAGTTCTCAGAATCAGTAGTTGGTTATGTTAACATTCAAGCAACAGCATTTTGAGACAAGTAAATATTATAATAACTTTACAATCTTTTAAGAAAATAAAACTTTAAAAATGTTACTTAAGCCTACACTTGGTTTTAAACCTTTATTTGAGAGACGAAGATCATGTTTTTGGAAAGCATTATTTACAATCATCAAATCTTACCTGAGGATTCCAACCTGGATCTAATTTCTTAACTACTGCAATGTATTCCTGCATTGCTTGACTGGGGCTTGAATCACCAAGGGCTTTCCATGCTTCCCTACAGTAAAGAATATCCAAAATGACCTATCATTAACTATGGAAATAATGCAAACAGCACATTCCTTTTTAGTATTAAAAAATTGGCATACACATTTTAAGGATGTGGGATATAGATCTAATAAGCCACAGATGAGTAGGTCTCTTTTTGCATTTACCTTGGTCTATACCAATGCACACCTTATATCCCACCACCTAAGGAGCCTTTTTAAACACTTTTTCCTAATCACCCTCCCCCATGAAATTTTAGTAACACAGATACATTGTATAACAATTGAATTTTGGAAGATCACAAACCACTATAATATCGAAGATTTTATAACTCCCCCAAACCCACCTTTCATCCCTATTGAGAATGTATGATCTACAGACCAATAAAAGTAGTTTCCACCTTTTGAATTAACTGTGCTTATAGCATTTCAGTAACATAGGAACCAATCAGCACAAGAAACAATATTTCCTGGGAAAATACTTCAAACTTCTTATTTAAGCTATGAGAAATACACCTTTCCCTTCTGCTGTTATCTCATCTGTAAGCTGCCAGTAGTGGGTCGTGAGACAGGGACTTCAAAAGTGAGGGGTGGTAAGGACAGAGATAAGAATTCTAATGAGTAAGAAGGTAGGGACTACTTGCAATATAAATACCAAGAGTAATATTTTAATCCTGTGCCCCCTTCTGGGTCATCCTTTTCTTCTTTTTTCTTCAAGCTGCCAAGATAGGCTCTTTCTTGGTTTTGTCCTCCCCGTTCTGCTTCCAACCAGGAAGTAGATCCACTGATCCAGCACAAAACACAATTCAGTGCCACAGGTTTTTACCACCTTCCTGCTCCCATAATGAATGTAACATCTTGCTGAGGTTTTCCAAATTTATTTTTACTGGCTCTCCTGAGTCAATAAATGAATACATCCTAACACTCTATCTCTAAATACATCAGCATATTTCAAAGTGAGGAAATTTAACATCAATACCGTTATATAAATATATAGACTACCTTCAGATTTCCCTCATTACCCAATAATGTCCTGTATAGATTTCTTCTCCTAGACCAGGAGCCAATCAAGATTCACACATAGCATTGATTTCATGTATCTTTAGCTTTTTCTGTCTTCCATGATATTGACATTTTTTAAGAGTCCAAACCAGTTGTTTTATAAAAGATCTATCAATTTGGATTTCTCTGATTGTTTCCTCACCTACAGTGTTCTTGCCAAAAATGATCAATCATGATTAGAATCAGGTTAAATGCTTTGGCAAGAGCAATATATAGGTGAGTGTCCTTTATCATGCATCACATCAGGGGGCACATAACATCACTTTGTCCCATCATCAATGATAAGATTAAAGACCTAGAAGCAATATCTCCCAGTTGTCTTCCTTGTAATTAAAAAGTAAACGGTGGGTCAGAATTGCGTAAATGCTGCTCCTCAGTAGTTTTTCATCTAACGGTTTCAGCATCCACTGATGATTCTTGCTTGAATTATTATGTGGTTGTAAAATCAAAACTTTTTAAAATTGCTAAAAACAATGAAAAAACAGGCAAGCATATAGGAAAAAATAATGCTGAAGTTATGAAATTTTTTAAGTTAAAACAAAAAAACAATAAAAGTTTCATCAGCTATTCTCTACAACGGTAACAAAGTGTCAGAGAACTAGTTGTCATCATTAGCAAAGAAAGATGCTGCCAGAATGGAGATCAAAGCAATGCCTCCTTTACTGAGAATGTCCTACACCAAAAAAAGCTGAACTAAACAGGGGCTTAATGACATAACTGATTTGCATTAAGTTCAAGCTTTGCATCTCTCTCTTTACGGCTGGGTAACAGCTGTCGCCAGAGAGGCAACTTGTCAGGGACCACATTTTGAGGAGCACTGCTCTAAAATGTAAAGTTAGAATCCTTTTCTAGCACCCTTCTCTCTACAACCATATTTTTTTTTAAACCCCATCCTTTATACTGTTAATCCCAAGACTGACACTCCAAAGTCCTTCCTTCTGTAACTAAGGGTCCCTGTTGTACACGATTGCTCTTTTTTCACTTAGGTAAGAGTAAATAAGGCCTCATATGATAAGAAGGAACCTCTGAATTATAAGTAAAAAAACTGGGGAGGGTATAATTTTTTCTTACAGATTCAGGAAAGAAATGGACTCAGTATCTTCCCCCCCACTTTCTCCCCAACAGATTATTATAAGCACGTCTTCACTGTGGTGTGGGTAGGGCAAGGAACAGAAGAGCAATAGAAATGAGAAGATAAAATTGGGGCAGGGGTGAGGGGTAAAAATGAGGATTTATCCTGTTCTCTGTTCCCATCCTCCTGTCCTTCTTCCAAAGATTCTTCCAGGGGACAGAAGTGGTGATCCATTAGGGGCTGTATGACAGGATAGGAAAATCTCAAGGAATAGCTCTTATGGTCACTGTCTAAGAAGCTATTCATATGTAAGAAGTGTATGTCTGTTGTGGACTAAGTATATACCAACATCATGGTATGAGAATCCTTTAGGATACTTAGCTAAAAGCGGATTCTTTTAATCTCTCTCCCAATTGCCTGTTGTTAGTACAGTCTATAGCAGAGAGATTAACATAAAAATAATTCTTTAATCCGCTCACTACTTTCTAATTCTTAAACACCTAAACCATTTCCAACAACCTCATTAGATTCCAAGAATTTCTTACCATTTTTGCTTTCCTTCAAAATCAAAGAAGCTTGGTTTAGGAGTATTACAATTTCCAACTTTGACCTAATTGAAGGGAGGGGGAAAAAAATCAAGAACTTATTTTTCAAAGAAATACCAGAGAAACTTTTTATTTTCAAATTTATTATGTATACTTAGTAACTATAGATTAGAAAATATCTATATAAAACAACAAAACTTAACATTCTTCGCAAAAGCAAACAAAAAACAAACTTTAAATAAAGGCTGCTTTGGCTTACCACATAAAACAACTGTTGTCTAACACTGTGATACACAAAAAAACATGGGTAACAAACACTGGCATTCCTAAACTAGTAGACAAATTATATATGTAAGGCAAATTATAAATACAGATTATGTAATCCTTATTACCATTTATTCTATTGAAGAATTTTTAAACATGCAAAAAACAAGATTTATAGTACAATTTATCAGAATTCATAACATTGTTTATGCTGATTCTCATTACATTATTAGCATTTTCTCTCTCCCAAATTCCAGGATAAAGCACACTATTTGTAAAGTATCCCATTATGAAACTAATCAGTACAAATATAGATGCTGAAAGCCGTGCAAAAAATTTTCAAGGGTTTTTCAACAACAATATAAATTCTATCTACTCCACAATAATCTTTTCTTGTTTGTGGTCAATACTTATTTGTAAAACCTCAAATAACATTTGTAGTAAAACTATACAATAATTATTTTCATTGTGAATAAACAAATGAAATTCACACAAGTGTTGAATTCATTATACAGCCCCTGATTCCCACTGGCAGAAGTAATCTCTCTTTCTGATGAACTCTCACAGCATTTACTCTGTATACCTCTGAAAGCACTTTTCACTTTTACCTGGTACTAGAAAATTTTGTGTAAAGTCTCATCTTTCTGTCAGAACACAGCTGCTAGGAAACCATTCCTAACACATTCATTGCACCTTATATAATGCCTAATCTAAGGTTGTTAAAAATGCTTGATGAATGTGGAATGAATATGTCAGGCACATGTTCAACCAAATATCTATTTTTCCTAATGCTAAATACCACAACCCGACCCCATCTACTTCTCAGAGACCTACTCACTATCTACTATTACTCTTATACACTTGAATTTTGCTAAAATCAAACTGATGGTCTACTCGCTAACCAGGCAGATCTACTCACTGCTTTAGGGATTTTTATTCTGTTTTGCTCATGTTATTGCCCTCACATGAAATGCCTTCTCTTCCTTCAGCCTTTCAAAATGCTACACCTTTTAGTCCCACTCAAAAGTTCAGATGTAAGAACCCTTTCAGTCTACAATGATTTCATCCATCTCTGAATTCATAACAATAATCATCTCTATCATTTGTTTAGCAAATAATCACATGGCCCTCAGATGAATATTAAAATGTACCTTTACCCAGGAGTAGATCTATTATAATGGGACCAAAAGGGGAAACAGTGAGAGAACAGGAACTGCATTTCTTGATCACCATAAAACAAAAGTTTCACACGTTACGTCAACTGGGCCATACAACTCATTTGCCTGTTACGTTTGCCATTACAAACTCATTTTATAAATGTGTACAGAGAAACTGAGGAGGGGTGCTGGAGTTCACACGTTACATTAGCAAATCCTGAATTAGTAGTCAGGATTTGAATTTAGGACTGTTTGACTCCGAAGTCCAATATTCCTTTTCTATACCACTTTGCTTTACATACCACATAGAATCTAGGCTTCAGTTCTGGCATCTCTAAAATCACCCAAACAGATGGATTATTAGAAGCATAAGAGAAACTATGACACATCATAAAAACAGCTGCAGTTACTACCTTTGGTTTTTATCCAGACACCAGCCAGTGGCAGAAACAAATACAGTATCTATTCTCCATTTCTCCTACACGAAATCTTGGCCAGACACATGGTCATCCAGCTAAACATTACATGTGGTCACGCAACTTGAGCCCAGGTTCAAGGGACGAGATGTGTGTAAAAGTGATATAAATATCTTCCTTAATGGGGTGGCTGGGTGGCTCAGTTGGCTAAGCGACTGACTTTGGCTCAGGTCATGATCTCATGGTTTGTGAGTTCGAGTCCTACATTGGGCTCTCTGCTGTCAGCGCAGAGCCCACTTGGGATCCTCTTTGCCCTCTCTCTCTCAAAAATAAACAAACATAAAAAAAAGGAAAGAAAGGGGGGCTTGTCCTTCCCTTTCCCTGAGCCCTCCCTCACTAGAACATGCATGTGGTGATGGTGAGCCATCTCTGGCCAGGAAAAGAGGATCTAAGGGGAACAGTTATAAAACTTTTTGGTCTCATGATGCCTTTATTCTCTTAGAAAATGAGGACCCCAAGAAGCTTTATGTGAGTTGTCTCTATCAATATTTACCATATTAAAAATTAGAAGACTTCTTAAAATATGCATTAACTCATTTAAAAATAAACTCATTAAATTAATAACAAAATTTTATAAAAGTAACTATGTGAAGCAAAAAAACTTTATTGAGAAAAGTGACATCATTTTACATTTTGCACCTCTTTAACATCTGCCTTAATAGAAGGCAGTTGTATTCTCTTATCTATTTCTGTATTCAATCTACTGCAATATGTTGCTTTGTTTGAAGTATATGAAGAAAATGCAGCTTCACACAGATTTGTTGTTAGAAATGAGAGAAGAATTTAGCAGCATTTTCAGATAATTGTGGATATTCTTCTTTGATTCCACACCAAAACTCAACAAGTGGCAGTTTCTTTAAGGTTAGATGCAATGTGGACTCTGAGGTCCTATCAATGAACTTTTCATACTGTTACAATAAAATCCATTGGTCTGACTTGCACTTCGTTTTTTTTTTTTTTTTTTTTAACGTTTATTTATTTTTGAGAGAGACAGAGCGTGAGCGAGGGAGGGGCAGAGAGAGAGGGAGACACAGAATCTGAAGCAGGCTCCAAGCTCTGAGCTGTCAGCACAGAGCCCGACGTGGGGCTCAAACCCATAAACCACAAGATCATGACCTGAGCCAAAGTCGGAAATCCAACCGAGCCACACATGCACCCTAACTTGCACTTTGAATGGATCTTTTACCCACACACAATTTGTAACATTTCATGCAATATTTGGAAAATATGGTTCACTGAGTTGTGCATTCCTCCCAAATGTTGACACAGTCCATTACACAAAAGCAAAAGTTTACAATCATTAAAATCACCATTAATCTCATCAAAAAGTTTTTAAGTATTAGGAAGCTGTTTGGTTCATACGGCAGATACAGATTTTCCAAACTACTAATTTCACTTGAAGGTTCAAATGTTACCATTGGCAACAAATACTAACAGCTTTTTTCCTTAAAGTGACTGGCTCACTTTATTCACTTTGAAGAAACTATCTCCCAAATACTCAAATTTGAACAAGCATAGTTTATCTGTGACTTGTTCTATTAAAGAAAAATGGTATTTCATGAAAAAACTGGATAGCTCAGCTTGCAACTCAAAAATTACACAAGTGTTTTTCCTCAAAAATAGCCAATATAATTTAGTGTGCAGAAGTGCCTTGGGTGTACCCTGCATTTCATCACACACAATACTAAAGACTCCTACTCAAAAATTAATATTAATAAAAATCAATGATTTTTACTGCTTTATCAAAGACATTTTTAAGTGAAATTGGATTTTTTTTTTTTTACTCTGAGTACATAGTGGTAAAAATACCAGACTACTAGTATAGTTTGCTGCCACTGCCTCGATTCGTACTGATGCATCACCAGTTTCATCACATAGGAAAAAAGCAAACAGTGTATTAGTATTATTACAAAAATAGTTTTGACCTTACAGATCTCCTGAGAAAGTCTCAGGGATTCTCAGGGATCTCTAGACCATAATTTGAGAACTGCTGCCTTGAGGGATGACAGAACTACTGGACAGAAAAAGACCAAGCCCCTGGATGATCTCATGAAGCAGAGCCACCCTACCAGCTCTAGATCACCTACCTCCACACCATTATGTGCAATGAAAATAAAAGTTCAGCAGCTGACCCTGTATTCTGACACAGAAGCTTTTGTATTCCCAAATTCAAAGAACAGTTCTGGATCAGAAAAGACTGGAAAAACAAAACTACAGGATTTTAGGACTTGATGAGCAACAGTTTCCAAATGATTAAATAATGAATCATGAGCTATAAAGCAGAGTTATAAAAGGTACCATTTTAAAAGAACATCTAAACGCTGTTCTCTCTGATATATATAATACATCCAGTGCCTTGAAAGAGAGTATTTTAACAAAGGGTGCTAATAGCAAATGCCAGTGAATCATGTGACCAGGTCAAAGTAAGAGAACATGCTGAGTATCCTCACTGTGCTCATGCTGAAGGCTCCTATAAAATAAAGCCAAAAGGAGTTTAAAATATTCATTGTCCTAGAGTTTTCACAGGTGTCAATTAGTTATCTTTTGCTGCTAATGCAGAGAATCAAAAAACTGTTAATTTGTGTGATCTTTTTGAAACTTCACTAAAAGATAATTTTGGAACTACAGGCTTCTCTGAAACTAAAAGAGCTACTATGTTAGGTAAGTTTAGGGCTCTGCCCAAGAAAAGAAGATTCACAGCTCAGCTTATTTTTATCATCTTCCTGGGGACAACTTTACCTCATTCAGCCTACAAAATACAGTGCTATTCCAAAACAAAACATAATTGTTTCATGAGAAATTCTGATTCATGATGCAGAAATTATATTGGAATTTCAACTTTATTACTCTATCAAAGATGCTATTTTTAACACTATCTCAGGATTCTGTTAAAAGTAAAATATTTATAAGAGATTGATAAAAATTGTGTCCCAATGTCATATCTAAGTAAACATAACCTTATTCCCTAATAATGAAAAATTTTATTTCCAGATACAAAGTATTTCTAAACACCTTAACATCAAACTCTTATAAGGGTGAGGGGCACACCTCTTTCAGTATATCTGGATGGAGTATACTTGAGACAGAATCGTTAGCAGCTGACAGGTGACTGCAGTTCACTGGTAACTTAGAAATCAGATATTTAATAATTATGACTCTAATATCAGTAGATAAGGTTATGTCCCAGAAAGAAAAAGAATGTTCTCCAGCAAATTTATAGGAAAAGTCTTATACTGCCCAAAGAATTATTATTCAGACATGTTAAAGGTCCTAGGACAACGTTCAATAAACTCTTGTTAAATCATTGCACATCTCATTTTAACGTTATTTGGACAGGGCAAATAACCAAAGAAAAATTAGATATCCACAACTTCTGCAAGAAAGCAAATTCCAAAGCCAATTCAGGGGCAATTTTCATTCAACACTATTATATCATACATATCTACAGCTCTCTCAAACCACTTTAACTGATATTCATAACTGAAATTCATCAATCTTCAAAATTCATCAATACTCTACTCAGCATATTCACTTGAAGAATACAGAGGGACCCTCAACTATTTTTTCTAAAAGGAAACAGGAGGAAATAGATACCAAGAAGCAAAAGACAGGGGAAAATTTTTTAGTAAAATAAAATGGACTATTACCCAGAACGTCATTGCTTCCAGTGTTCCAAAGAGATGGAGTCTTCCTAAAATGTTATTTAACTCTTGTTAGCAATTTTTCACATGTTTAAATCTAGATGCCTCATGTAACTTTTTAAGTCTCTTAAAGGCAAATACCATCATGGTTTTCTTCTTTGCACTCCTGGAAGGCATAACACCCAAGTGTTTTGCACATAAAAGATGCTGTGTATTGGTTGATTATGATAAAGCAAGTAATTATTTTTACTTCTGGTACCTTTGATTCTTTGAATGATAAATTAAATATGTCTTACATAACATTATGATTATTATTTCCAGGTAAAGTTCAGAACCTTAGAGAGAGTCCAGGAGCTACAACCTAGTTCTAGTTCTGATTTTCTGTATGACCCTAGGCAAGTTATCTACTCTTTTTGGGCTTCCCTTTCCTGCAAAAGAAGGGGATTATTTCACCTGGTGTTTACTAGCTCTAAAATTTTTATAATTGTATCTAACAGAAGCATATTTAGCCAAAACGTAAGTCTAGTATATTTAGGACTTTAAAAATCACAATAATAAAAGTGGTAATACTGTATTTTGTATTGCATCACCCTTTTATGACAATTATATAATTTCCTCGGATCTCACAATTTTTTTAACATCACTTCCATATGACCATATTACTTCCATAACTACCTCCATATGACCCTTAGCAACAGTGAGTGATAAATCTTATTTTCTCATCCTCATTTTCTAAAGTTGGTAAAAGCATAAGTACATGGTCACTGTGCAAGTCTGAGAAGTCGTAGAAAACTGACATTCAATGTCCAGTGAACCTTCATCCCTAGGATAGCATATCGGTCCTTTCCAAATTCAGAATGATGCTATTCCTTAATACATGATTACACACACACACACACACACACACACACACACACACACACACACACACACACTTAAACCTAGCCATTACTATTAGTTTTTGGAGGAAAGAGGTCTCCTATGGCTCTCCCGCACCCACCCCTTCCCTGGGACTTTACCTGCTTGTACCTGGCATACAGGTACAAGAGCTGCTCCCTGCTGGCCACTTGAACCAGGCCTTGGAGGTGCGCTGCAGCCTTCTCAAAGAGCTCGGTCAGGCTCCCGGACGCCTCGGTCTCGGGGCTCTGGAGGGATTCTACATCACCGGAGTCGTCCCCCGAGCTCAGCTCGCCGCCGCTGTCGCCCGTGGTGGCCCCCGCGGGCAGGAATGGCGAGGCCATGAGTCCTTGCTCGGTCCGTCCCTCTGTGTCCGCTCGGTGCTCCTCAGACCGGGGGTAACGCCGGCTCGGGGGCCTGGCCCACCAGTCTCGGTCCCGAGCCCGACCTCGAGTCGGACCCGAGCCCACTTACTCTGCGCTGCCTCACGTAACTCTGCCTCGCTCTCACTTCGCTCCCGGGCGTGCGGGGCAGGCTCCGCTATTCTTGACGGCTCTGCCCGGCCCAGCGGGTCTCCCCCGGCTTCCTCAGGCTAACAGCGCGCTCTGGCTCGTCCCGGGTCCCTCCACCGGCGAGCGAGTCTGGGGGCTGCGCAGCTGAGGGATCCGGGAGGAAGGGCGGCAGGCGGCGAGGGCCGGGAGGCGTGCGCGCCGGGCGGGGCGGGGCGGCGTGCGCGCGAGGCGGGGCAGGACGGGCGGCGTACGCGCCTGAGCACGCGTCCGAGCACGCGCGCGGGGCTAGGCGCGGAGGCGGTCTCGGCGTTGGACCCGCAAGGGCGGGCGGCCCTGCGTTGGGCGCCCTCCGCGGAGGGGAACTCGCGGGGGGGCGCTAGAGACACGGTGCTCGGAGAAACTGTCCTCGATCATCGGGATGTCTGTTAATCGTTTTGTTGAAATTGCTAGTCACAAAGTCTGGAACCTGTTCTCGGAATAGGCCATCGGGAGTGGGGAAGGAGGCAGGCTATTTGGTAGTGTAGCGATGGGAGCGGAGTCGCGGAAACACGGAGCTGAGGACGAAGGTTCCGCTGTACCCGCCTCCAGGGGTGTGTGACCCGGGCGTCCCCAAACTGGCCTCCGATCCCTGCACAAACATCTGTTTCTTGAGAACTTAGCTCTAACTTGAATAATGAGTGAAAATTTGGGAGCTGGGGCCTTCACCGCCTAAATCGCGTGACTAATTGGTCGACCCACTCCTCTCTGTCTCGCTTTGCACGCCCGTGGGACGCCCCACTTCCCTGGGTGGTACTGGGACGCCCCATCTCCCTCCCCGCCATTAGCACTTGTCTTCTCTGACAGCCTTTGCCACTGTGCTTTGAAGACACTAAAGTGAAACCAAAAACTGGGACACAGTTCTGCCCTAAAGGAACTTACACAAAACTACACAAAAACTAACCTGATGATAACAATTAACTTTTACTTAGTAGTTACTATATCCCAAGTGTTGTAAAACAAAAACGAAAACATTGTTCATTTAGTACTCAGAACAATGTAATAAGCACCATCAGATCTGGTACAAAGGAAGTGTTCTAAGGAGTGGTTATTGGGATAGTTGGGTGGCTCAGTCCGTTGAGCATCCCATTCTTGATTCCCACTCAGGTCACGATACAATGGTCGTGGGATCAAGTCCCTCCACCAGCTCCACAAGCTTGGAGCCTGCTTAAGGTCCCATTCTCCCTCTACCCCTCTTCCCCGCTCACATGTGCTCGCGCGCTCGCTCTCTCTCTCTCAAAAAAAAAAAAAAAAAAAAAAGTGGTTATCGACCATTTGGGGTTAGACTTTATGCAGGTGGACATGGGATAAAGACAGGTGAGAGAAGAAAGAAAAGACAGGAAGTTGTGAAGGCTTTGGTCAGGATTCAACAAATACTCTTTGAGTATCTAGAATGTGCCACTGTCAGTCTCTTGCTCTCAAGGCACTCAACCCAAGCAAGGGATGGCTGAGAACAAATTCTTACAATTAAAAAGTGATAATAATAATAATAACTCATTGAATCCCTTTTTGTTTAAGGTACTTAATCCTTACTACTAAAGGTAGGTACAGTTATTTCCACTCTGCACATAGGAAATCAGCAGAGTCATTGAATAACGTGCCTAAGGTGCACAACTAGTAAGTAGAGAATCAAGGAAAAAGTCAAGTTTCATCTTTTTCTGTATTCAACAGCAGTTTAAATAACATGGGACTAAAGCAGGCAAAACTCTTTTATGAATATAAGCATACAGCAATTCTACTTTTACCCGGCAAGAATGCATACATGTGTCCACCAAAATACATGTACCGGAACATTCATGGCACCGTTATTTCTATACTGCTCCAAACTGGAGACTCCCAAATGTCCACCAACAGTCGAATAAAACTGTAGTGTGCTTACACAATGGAGTACTACTTAGCAGCAAAAATGAACTAATTACAGTAACATACAACACACAAATAAATCTCATAATGTAGAACCCAAGAAGGCTGACACAAAAGAGCTCATATGCTTCCATTCGTAAAAAGCTCAAAAGCAGGCAAAACTATTCTGTGGTGTTAAAAGTCAAAAGACTTTTAGTCTTGAACTGAACCCTGGTTACACAGGTGTGTTCGCTTTATCAAAGCTCACTTAAAATGTATACTTTTCTGTATGTACACTGTATTTGAATGAAAAGATAAAAAATAACATGTGAAAGGGGTGCCAGGGTGGCTCAGTCAGTTAAGCATCCGACTCTTAATTTCTGCTCAGGTTATGGTCTCGTGGTTCATGAGTTCAAGCCTTGCATCAGGCTCTGTGCTGTCTACTCAGGATTCTCTCTCTCCCTCTCTCTCTGCTCCTATCTCTCACTCAAAATAAATAAATAAACTTAAAAAAAATTTTTTTAAATAACGTATGAAAAGGAAAAAAACATGAAGAGTCCCTGACATTCAGAAGCTGGCCTGACACTCACAGTTAAGCCATATTATTCTCCTATAGATATAAATAACCTCATGAAATATCAACCTTGGACAAGGTATCATTGTAAAAGCATGATAAAATAAGACAAAACACTTCATAAACTTGTCAAAATACAGACAAAAACAATATCACTCTGTCCCGCAAAATACCAAACACCCTTTCTATTGGCCAAAATAAATGATTATTACTGCTTTACAAACTATAGCTTTGTTCTCATGTTAGTCTTCTCTCCCTATAGATAAGATTTATTGAGATGCCCAATCATGGAATTGTCCTGGCTTTCTGATAGCATCCAATTGAGGACAAGTCCCTGTTTCTTCAGACTCTACCTCAAGTCACCAACCAAAGCCCAAATTCTGTAATAGGTGTTTTCTGAACATCTTCTTACTGAGACAGAACATGGTTCCCCATGGTGTGTATTCTTCCTTGTTGCAACAAGAAATAAATACAACTGGGTTTACTATCGCTGACTTCCTGATTTCAGCCTCAGCTGAAGGGCATTGACACTTGACAACATTTGATTTCTTGAGGGTTCTGTTAAAACTCCAGGGGCGCCTGGGTGGCGCAGTCGGTTAAGCGTCCGACTTCAGCCAGGCCACGATCTCGCGGTCCGGGAGTTCGAGCCCCGCATCGGGCTCTGGGCTGATGGCTCAGAGCCTGGAGCCTGTTTCCGATTCTGTGTCTCCCTCTCTCTCTGCCCCTCCCCCGTTCATGCTCTGTCTCTCTCTGTCCCCAAAAAAATAAATAAACGTTGAAAAAAAAATTAAAAAAAAAAACTCCAAAACTATCAGGATCTGGCAACTTTGAGAAAATAAATCTTTTACAGTTGGTGTTTCCCTTCAAGCATTTCTTGGGAACTGTAGGGAAATGAATATGTTTTTCTTTTTTTTTAAACATTTTTTTAAAAAAAATTTTTTTAACGTTTATTTATTTTTGAGACAGAGAGAGACAGAGCATGAACAGGGGAGGAGCAGAGAGAGAGGGAGACACAGAATCTGAAACAGGCTCCAGGCTCTGAGCTGTCAGCACAGAGCCCGACGCGGGGCTCGAACTCACAGACCGTGAGATCATGACCTGAGCCGAAGTCAGACACTTAACCGACCAAGCCACCCAGGCGCCCCTGAATATGTTTTTCTGAATCTCAAGAAGAAATCAAATTGGGAAGACAGAAAATATCATAGTTAGAATAAAAACTTAATCAGTATTAAAGATTAACAACCAATTTGGAGAGGTCATTGATTCAAAGGGATCCACTGACAAGTTAAAAACAATAGCAGGGGGTTGCCTGGGTGGCTCAGTTGAGTTGGTTAAGCATCCGATTTCAGCTCAGGTCATGATCTCATGGTTTGTGGGTCCAAGCCCCACATTGGGCTCTGTACTGACAGCTCAAAGACTGGAGCCTGCTTTGGATTCTGTGTCTCCCTCTATCTCTGCCCCTCCCCTACTCGTGCTCTGTCTCTGTCTCTGTCTCTCTCTCAAAAATAAATAAAACATAAAAAAGTTTTTTGTTTTTGCTTTAAAAAAAAAAAAAGCCATAGCAGGAAATGCTAACACCTGGGGTCCAAAGTGACCCAGGGAAAGGAACAATCGGGCAAAAAGTGGTCAAGAGCTAATCAGTCTTGCTGGTGGTGGTTGCCTGGTGTACATGTGTTCATGGCCCCATCTGCTGCTAACAGTGAGTCATTTTGCAAATACAATAAATGTTAATAAGATTATGCACATGGTACACTTTATACATATTTTATGAGTGATGTTCTGAGAAATAAGTTTTGGAAGACAAGTCACTCCATAAACTCGCAAATTCTTTAAGTGATTCTAAGTAGCACTATTAATTTGCTAAGAGATCTGAATGTTATAAGAATGCCATCCAACAATGTTTGCTAGCATTTTCCAGTGTCTGCATTCGCTGTAGGTTACAGTTCTTTATAAGTACTTTAATAGGAAGAAGCGCAAAGAGAAGATTATAATATACTGCAGCATGACATCCTGAATGTACCTACAACCTGAATAAAAGTCATACCAATGACAAACTAAAGATAGGACAACCAAAGAAAACATTTTTGTTAAAAAAGTAACTGGATTTAGCACAATTCAGGTTTTGTGAAACGTTGACTTTTTTTTTTTTACATTATCATTAAAATATTCATTAATTCATCAAAACTGTTCATTCCTAATATGTTTCAGACAGCATTAAAACCTAGGGATATTAAGATAAACAAGGTTATTATTCACGTTATTCTACTCCAGCCACATAGGCCCCTTTCTGGCTCTTCTTCAAATCTAGAATTATCTAGAATACTCTCATTTTAGTGACTTTATGCTTGCTAGCCCCTCTTTCTGGAACATTCTATCCCCAGATTTCTATGTGGTTTGCCCTCACCTCTTTCAGGTCTTTTTGCTCAGTTGTTGCATTAGCCAAACTTTCCTTGGCTGCCTTATTAAAAATTGCAACTCCATCCTCCCAACACCCTATCCCACTTCTTTAGCACTTACTGCCACCCAGCTAACAATATGTTTTAGTCATTTGTTATATCATGTCTATATAAGTTCCAGGAAGGCAGGGATTTTCATCTGATTTTATCACTGCTGTATTCCACAGAGCTGGCACATAGCTAAATCTTTATCGAATAGATAAATGAGTGAATTTATAAAAGACCTGGTCATTTTTCTTTAAGGACTTAGGAGAGAAAATGAATAAGGGCAATAGTACATGACAAGTGATGTGGAAAGGGCATGCCAGACAGAAGTAACATGAGCAAATGCACAGGGGTATAAAAATAACAAGCAATATTGCTTGTTTTCACTTAGTAATAAGTAAGATCAATAAGCAAACAGCAGAAGTGTAATTAGCTGATTTTCTCTCACCAACATAAACTAAATATTGGAACATATGTTAACCTACTCCTAAGAAGAAAACTTTGCTTAACAAAGGCTGCATTATCTTTTTTCTAAGCTTATTTATTTATTTTGAGAGAGTGAGAGAGAGAACATGAGCAGAGGAGGGGCAGAGAGAGAGGGAGAGAGAGAATCCCAAGCAGGCTCCACGCTGTCAGCATGGAGCAGGATGCAGGGCTAAAGCTCATGAACTTCAAGGTCATGACCCGAGCTGAAATCAAGAGTCAGGTGCTTAACCAACTGAGCCAGCCACCCAGGTGCCCCAAGGCTGCATTATCTTGCAAATGTTTAAAAGAATAGAGTTCTTACAGGTTAGTGGCTTATTTGTATGTCACTAATCATATTGATGGTACTTAACTAGTAGGATGTAATCTTTTAGGCAATCTATGGCCCTTAATGCAACTCTTTTTAAAAAATGTTTATTTGTTTATTTGAAGAGAGAGCGTGCACGAGCATGCAAGCAGGGAGGGGCAGAGAGAGAGAGGGAGAGAGAGAATCCCAAGCAGACTCAGTACTGTCAGCACAGAGCCCTACTCAGGTCTCTCTCCCCCAAACCACAAGATTCTGACCTGAGCAGAAGTCAAGAGTTGGATGCTTAACCTACTGAGCCACCTATGCACCCCTAATCCAACTCTTAAGCACATTAGTGGGACTCTAGTACATAGGCAGATAAGCAGATAGAGAGAGATATTAGACTATATTATCTGATTTGCATAATTTTGAAGTTCATTTGACCACCTTCAAATACAGGAATCACAACAGGAAAATCACTGCCCCGACCATGGAGTCCTTGTGAATTCTGTATGATGAGTAAAATTTAATGGAAACAAACAAACAAACAAACGAAAACACATCCTCAAGTTCTCAGGAAGTTAGATATTTCCTACTAAAAATTTTAAAAAACTTTGATTAATTTTGAGACCCCTCCCCCCTAGTTTGGCTGTTTGATGGTAATGGATGGGCTTAACTCAGTGTAAGTAACAGAGATTTCTGGGGGATGTGTTTGTGGGTTTAGAAACTGACTTAATGGTAGAACCTTGTGTAATGCTGCTTAGCATTACATGAATTCAAATACAAGGGCAAATCATCTGCCACAAAGCAAAATAGGATTAAATAATAAAAGCCTAGCATACTCTTAGATATCGGTCCTGAAGAGATTCTACTGTGCTTGATAAAATGAACCACAGAGTAATATAGAGAATCAGTGGGCTCAAGTAAGCGGGTAGTGATGGCTCGCTTCTGGCCCACATTTGAAACATTTTGGTTGTTGTTGTTGTTAATATATTAGCTAGTAAATCAATGGTGCTGCATATTATATATTAGTATAATATGAATGTGAAGTAGTGAAATAGTTTAACAATTTCATTGTTATTTTGACTTGCTGAAAATTAATTGACATTGAATTATTAAATGCAGACTATTAACCTTTCAGGTAATGTAATACAGTCCACAGGCCAGAGAGTCTGCTATCATTCTTGCAATCAAATAACTTAAATTTTAGTTGTAGAAACAAGATTAGGACTCATTAGAAAAATTATTAAATTAAATAAGACAGTAAAATTAAGTACTAAATCTCATGGTGCACACTGAAACAAAATAATGATAGGATTTTTTTGCTGGATATTCTCCCCCATAAAAGTCCTTTGTTGAGCAGAGGAGGAAGGAGCCCTTTAAACATCGAGTGACTTGCATGAGGCCTGATATATTTAGGTGGATGACCAAGTGGATCTAACACACAGATCTCCTAAAATGTATGTATGTATGTATTTTTGCTGAAGTATAGTTGACACACAATGCTATAGTCTGGGCATTTTATATCTACTAAAACACATGGTGCTCAGTATTCATTAAATTAAAAGGGAGCTATTAGTCAATTGGCAGAAATTAATGTGAACTATGTGTAGGTGCATTAAAAGTAAAGATCTTTAAGGAAAGAATCACTGAACTTGGAACTAAGAAACTAAACATTTTTGTATCCATCTCGTTAATGTTATCTTTTTCTGGGTACAGTTACTAGGTTGAAGAATAAAGGGTTAAGAAAACAAAAACATAACTAACACACTGCACCTCCATAAAATGTGGTTTCTTTATATGAAAAATGAGGCCTGTGGGTTTGACCCACTGACACTACTCTAGGTGGTTTAAGATTCCAGGTGGCTGCCATCTTGCGCGGCACCGGTGGAGTGAAGGTGTAATATAGATATTGACCACATGATGGCAACATAGAGCCAGGTTTGTTTTCTGCCGGTCAGAGGTTTGCTAGAGTATCTTTGTCTTCGTGTTTGGGAAAGACACCCACCTTGCAGAAGGAATGGAGCAATTTTTTATGTAATTATATCTTTATATTGAACAGAAGCCAAATCCTAATGGTGTTTCTTCTTTATACCTAGAACCCAAGAACTGAGATTGAAGAGGAAAACAGACTTTGTTAAGATGTGCTTGGTTAAAAATGTCCTAATGAGTACACTTATTATTCTGAATGTCACAGTAAGAAATAGAGGTTATACAGTGTAGAGTGAGATAAGCTTAGCTCTGAATCTACATCGTTACCCCCTCTTTATTGTTGTTGGTTGTTGTTTTTGTTGCTGGGTTTTCTTTTCTTGAAAAAAAAAAAAGTTCTTGCACCTCACCCTGTTCTTCCAAATATTTGGGGGCACTTTAAGTTTAAAATTGACATTCTAAAATGCACAATAGAAGATAGAATATTTAGTAGGTATATCTTGACATGTGTTTATTAAAGCTGAAAAGACTTAGCAAATAAAAATATACCAAAATGTGAATTTCATATGCTGGATTTTCTTTCAGTTTGCATTCATCAAAATTGTTCATCCCATTGTTGTTGATATTATCCACAGCTGAGCATCATCCTGGAAGAAATCATGACTTTGATGAATTTTGTGGCATTTGAAAATGCTTGCAAGAGTTCATCAGACATTAGTAATAAAAAACCAGGAATGGTTTTTATCATCAAGAAAATCTGGTCAGGCAGATATAATCACTTTAACCAGTTTTGTTTATATTACCTTAAAAAGAGAAAAGAGGGGCGCCTGGGTGGCGCAGTTGGTTAAGCGTCCGACTTCAGCCAGGTCACGATCTCGCGGTCCGTGAGTTCGAGCCCCGCGTCAGGCTCTGGGCTGACAGCTCAGAGCCTGGAGCCTGTTTCCGATTCTGTGTCTCCCTCTCTCTCTGCCCCTCCCCCGTTCATGCTCTGTCTCTCTCTGTCCCAAAAATAAATAAAAACGTTACAAAAAATTTTTAAAAAAAAAATAAAAAAAAAAAGAGAAAAGAACATTCAAGTAGTTTGCAATGTCTCATTTTTTTCCAAAAACATCTTTATATTAAAAATTAAATTACCCGTTTATTTTTCTGATTGAAGCCTGATTGTAAGTTTTTAACTTCCATCTCTTAAAATGTCAAATGACTGTGTATACCTTTAAGCCATTGTTTTGACTGTAGAATTACACCTCTATTCCTGATCCCCCAAATGGGTCAAGCAAATAGTAACATCTATTTATTAGAATGCATCCAGTATTGCTCAGAAATAACAGCACGATAAACCTTAGTAACAGAGATTCCGTCACACAATTCATGTATGCACATCCACGTCACTGGCTATTATAATTGGTCTGAATATTAATGTTCCTGCTTCTGATTTTTCTCATGATAGCAAGTTTTCTTTAATCAATTGTTTATTATTAACATTTTCAAATATACAGAAAAATTGAAAGAATAATAAAGAATCACCCAACTGTCTATCCCCTGAATTCAACAATTGTTAACATTTTTCCATATTTGCTTTATCTATCTACCTACCTATAATTTTCTGGTGAACCATTTGAAAATCAGTTACAGACATCACGGTACTTCAAAACCTAAGTATTATCGTATGTATCTTCTAAAAATAAGAAAATGCTATTATAAAAGCATAATGCCATTCTCATACTTAAGAAAATTAACAAATGACAACTAACATGTAGTCCTCTGTATTCAATTTTTCCTAGTTTTGCCAAAAAGGCTTTAAGTACACACATACATTCAAATCACTTAAAACTAAAATACATGGATATGTATGTATTATACGTATATTAGCATATGAAAGCCAGAGCTCAGGTCCAAAAGGCTTTGTCAAAAAAAAATCAAAGCACTTTATAGTAAAGGTGAATAATCAACAAGAATTTATTGACAACTGACCACATGCTAATTACCATTTCTGATTCTATGAGTGTACAGGTATATAGAATCATCAAAGGCATTGAGCCTGGGGCATCTGGGTGGCTCAGTCTGTTAAATATCTGACTTGATTCTGACTCGGGTCATGATCTCACAGTTCTCGAATTCGAGAACTGCACTGATAACAGAGCCTGCTTCTGATTCTTTCTCTCCCTGTCTCTCTGCGCCCCCCACCCCCCCCCACCCCACACGTGCATTCTCCCTTTCTCTCTAAATAAATAAATACATAAATACATAAATAAATAAAATAAAACTTTTTTAAAAAAAAGGCATTGAGGGGCGCCTGGGTGGCTCAGTCGGTTGGGCGTCCGGCTTTGGCTCAGGTCATGATCTCGCAGTCTGTGAGTTTGAGCCCCGCGTCGGGCTCTGGGCTGACAACTCAGAGCCTGGAGCCTGTTTCCGATTCTGTGTCTCCCTCTCTCTGACCCTCCCCCGTTCATGATCTCTCTCTGTCTCATAAATAAATAAACATTAAAAAAAAAAAATTTTTTTTTTTAAAAAAGGCATTGAACCGGGGCATCTGCTTGGCTCAATTGGTTGAGCATCCTACTTGGGCTCAGGTCATGATCTTGTGGTTCATTTTGTGAGTTCAAGTCCCACATCAGGCTTGCTGCTGTCAGCCAGCTTTGGATCCTCTGTCCCCTTCTCTCTCTCTGCCCCTCCCCTGCTTACACTCTATCTCAAAAAGTAAATAAAATATTTGAAAAGAAAAAAAAAAGGCATTGAGCCTACATTTGTGCTTGGTAAAACCAAAAGCCTAACACATTAGCAAAAGTTCCTGAAATCTCGTTTTAATTGACATGTTTTGTAAATGATTCAAAGAATCTCAATTTCATATAAAATATCAAGAAGATGAAAATGAAGTCCACATGTAATATTTTATCTTAAATATGTAATTTGTCCTTTGCTAGCTTCTGCACAGTAAAATAGCTTCCGTGTAATAGTCATCTTACATAGACCTTACTTTTCAGAAGGGCATGTTATCAATCATAAGTGAAGGTACTATTTGAATTATTTTGGTTACATTGAGTTGTCATGCTCTTTTGTTTTTAATAGTAAGGCCTGTTTCATTTTTGTGTTTCTGTGCATGGTGCAGGGTGTTTTTTATGAAAAGACATAAGACAGAGAAAGAAAGAATGAGAGAGAGAAGTCTTGAGTTGCACACAACCCCAAAAAGTGACTGGGGGACAGAACAGGGGCACCCAAAACAGGGGTGAACCATTATATAATTAAGGACGAAATGATGTACTGCAGACTGTTACTGCTACAGGAATTTAGAAAAGAGGAATGCTAATAAAGACATCAGGAAGTTCCAGAACTTCATGGAGATGGCAGCTGAGCCTTGAGGGATGGTCAGATTTGAATAGGAAAATAGAGCAAGAAGGGCTTTGCAGATGAGTGAAACCATGTGAGAAAAGCCATCAGAGCACACTTGCAAGAGAGTGGTTTGGGGTAAAGGGAATTGATTAGGAGGCAGGGAGGGAAAAAGGAGTTAGGGGTGAAGTGATAAAGCCATGGTAAAGCAAACCTCACAGTTCCCTAGGATAAAGGAATTGTCTATTCCTCCATTTGTACCCTGCTTTGTCCCAAAAGTAATCTTAGGTAGCTATGCTAGTCATTGTAGAAGTGTAAGAGTAGAATTCTGGATTGAAAATGGGTGGTTAGATTGACTTAACTAAGGGAGTTAAGAATAGAAAAGAGAGAGATGGATGAATTTGACATTAAGTCAATGGCTACGTCCATCTATTAACATGATATTCTGTTGACTATGGTTTTCCATCTTTTTCCTTTGTCCCTTTGTTCATCATAATATTCTTGGAACTTCACTGCTGAGTATTGACTAGAATAAAATCACATTGAAATCATATCATATTGAAATATTTCATAGTTATCCAAAGCATTTATTACAATTGAGTAATTAAAATAAACGTATTCTAGTATCTTCCTACTAAAGCCTTACAATCTATCTGGAGCCCAACCTTGGTCTCCCTGACAGATCCACCCTGACAGGTGCACACCCAAAAGAATTCCCTTTGGGGGCACCATCCAACCATCTGAGAACTCTCCCCCATTAACACTAAAGGTGTTGACTAGTTGGTTAGTAGAAATGGACACGAAGAATTTGCTGCTGATTTCAATCAGAACAGGATAGGTTATGTGGCAGTAATAAAAAACCCTAAGCTTCAATGTCTTAATCCTATAAATCTGTGATTTCACCCACACTCTGTTTCTCTGCTCATCAGTGTCATCAAGAGAGCCATTCTGAGAGGACTCACCTTGACACTTACTTCCACAACCTCTAAAGCAGCAAAATAGGAGAATGTAACAAACTGTGCACTGGTTCTGAAAGGTTTCAGTAAGGAATGACGTCACTTCTGTACCCATTTCATCAGCCAAAGTAAGTTACATGGTCATACCTAACTTGAAAGGGGGCAGAGAAATACAGTCCTACTATGTTCTTAGAAAGAGATGAATGCCAGACTATTTGTGAATATCTCAAATGACATTCACTATCTTACTGATTGTTTTTTTTTTCTTTTTTTCTTCCCTACCTTTTGTGAAAACATACTATTAAATGAAAAAATTATTCCTTTGAAAGTTCATTCTATGTAGTATTTGATAGTATTATAATATAATTTTTGCAAATATTGCCCAATCCAGAGACCATCTGTAGTTTATGGAAAATATTAACTATAGTGAATATAATTGCACTGAGTCGCATGTCCACAGTACCTTCCTTTTTTTTCCATGGAAACCAGGAGACGTTTTGCAATTTATCAACAAGTGTGCTGCCAGATTAGAATTGAAGGCTTGCGTCCAACTCATTGTGCTTGTCCAGGCATGGTCCAATTATTCCTAATGTATGGAAGAAATAGCTATGTATTTCCCACTGTGCCTTTTAAACTTCAGCAGGTGGCTGAGTATTGGGCAGTGTGTTACATTGTCACCTTCCAGGAGGGGCAGTTGAAGATTTCCAGTTTTCAATATGGGAATGACAAGCATGCCTCAGCAGTTTGGAGGAATTAGTTATCTGATACCTTATAATACGTTAAGGCCATTGGCCTTGACATAGAAAGAGCTTTGCACATGCTTGCCACCTACCTGGGGAGTATTTACTTATTTTCTACTTTTAAAATGATTTCTTGTTTTGTTTTGCATTTTGCCACCTGCCCATTTTTAATTTTTCTACCTTGGAATTCCTTTCAAACATTTTTACATGTTGATGAAAAAGGTCATAGGTGGAGATGAGTAAGATCACACTTTGAGTTGTGTTTCCAGAAAAGCAGAAGTTAGGTTTGTCTTGTTTGCCACCGAACCATCGTCTGGGATGGTTCCTCACACATGGGGCTCAATAAATACTATTGGATTAATAAACAAAGGAACGACAGAGAGATAGAGAAGACATTATTGGCTTACCTGCATGGTAGCCCTCTTTCTTTTGACCAGTTGCAAAAATTGTAAGGTGCTGGACTGGAATGAGAGATGGAGAGAATTTCTCAGTATTAAACTAAGCTAATAAGTCCACAGTTTTACTCTCCAATTATTTTAGTTGCTAGATTGTTTTCATCTCCCATTACTCCCTAATCATAGTCAACTTCTCAGCCAAACTGAACCACTGACTTTTCTCCAAATGGTCATGCTCCTCATTGAATTGTGTCCCTCCCCCGAAAGATACATTGAGATCCGAACCCCCAAAGCCTCAGAACGTGACCTTATTTGAACTTGGGGTGGTGGCAGATATCACTGGTTAAGATGAGTTCATACTGGAGTAGGCCTGGCCCCTACTCCAGTATGACTGGTGTCCTTGAAGGATGGTCATGTGGACACAAAGACACACAAATAGCATATTGTGTGACAAGTTAGGAAGGCAGAAAACTTGAGTGACGGGGCTACAAGCCAAGGAATGCCTGGAAACCAGCAGAAGCCGAAAGAGGTGAGGAAGAGTTCCCCTCTGCAGGTTTCAGAGGAAGCATGACCCTACTAACTTGATTTTGGACTTGTATCATCCATAACTGAGGCAATAACTTTTTATTGTTTTAAGCCACCCAGTTTGTGGTACTTTGCTACAGCAGCCACAAGAAAATGAATATAATCCTCATTCACAGAGGCTTTGTTTCTTCCACCTGCTCTTCACCCACACTGTCCATCTTGAGACCCTCCTTAATATCTCTTCTTGAGTAAAATCTCTAAATCATCTCCGAAATATTAGATGGGCTGGCTCCCCTCACCTCCTGTAGCACCTATGTCTATCATGGAGTAAACAGTGATGAGCAAGGAGAAAAGTCTGGAGACGCTGCTCTGAAAGTATCCAGGTTAGAAGACATAAAATGAAGTAAATGAGTAAATTAAGGGGAAAGCAGATCGGTCACTGAGACCTGGAGGGAAAACAAGGGGGTAGGCCAAGAGTACAGAGAGCTCGTACACAAAATATTTTAAAAGGCAAAGTTAAAGTTCCAGAAGGGCTGCATTGCCGAGGCGAGCAGACACCATCCCGGGTTCCCTGGCAGAGAGGGGTCCTCCTCGCTAATGATACTATTCTGAGAAACTGCTTGCAGTTGAAATAAAGGCAGAGCCACATATGGCTCGGTTCAGAGAAGGTCTGAGAAGGAGCTTAGGGAGGGTTGTGCCGAAAAAATGAGGTCATGAGATAAAGATTTTGGGTTACAGATAAAAAGCAAACCCATTTTAAATGCACTTTTGATACAAAAAATAAAAAAGAAATAAGGCAAAAGAACACAGGCAGGACAGGAAGTGGGGGGGCCTTCTGGGTATGCTTGTTATTTCTCTCATGGCCTTTTCGGTCAAGTCAATTAGATAATAAATTATGCATAACCATCGCTACTGGCATTAAAAAACACTTGCAGTGAGAAATGATGGATGTTCTGGTGACCCACGTAAATTTGCTCAGGGTCAGAACAATTGTTACAGCCTGTTGCTTAATTTTTTCTCCTGGTCCCTGCGGTCACCTCCTGGACCTGGCTACAGGAGGGAGTGACTGTTGGGTAGAATCAACACATATCTCTAGTGCAGTGCTTATCGCTTGACGTTTTAGTCATCTTTGTTGAAAAAGCAATAAGTAGCAATCAATTCATTGAGAATGCGTTAAAGAGACAAAACAGATACACACACCGGGACGGATGGGGATGGGGAGAAACGAGAAGAGGCCATTTTATGGAGGGAAGGAGCTAGAAGCAAGCTGGGGGGCTAGCCACCAGGTGTGGGGTGGAAGTTGGGGGGAGCTCGTGTGCTTCACCATCAGGCAGACTCTGAGTGCCAGCAAATTGGGCCTTCAGAACATTTGGGCAGGAGAAACATTTGACAGTTCAAAACAATCTTTTTTTTTTTTGTAATTTTTTTTTTAAGTTTATTTATTTTTGAGACAGAGAGAGACAGAGCATGAACGGGGGAGGGTCAGAGAGAGAGAGGGAGACACAGAATCCAAAACAGGCTCCAGGCTCTGAGCTGTCAGCACAGAGCCCAACGTGGGGCTCGAACTCACAGACTGTGAGATCATGACCTGAGCAGAAGTCGGATGCTTAACCGACTGAGCCACCCAGGTGCCCCTCAGAAAAGTCTTTTTAATAGTCGTCATCTAATGTGTTGGCATTATTTATTTCTGGTTTATAACTTTAACATTATGGTTTATATATTTTTTCCCTGCTTGGAGTGTTAAAGGTTTTAGTGAGGCTGTAGGTATCTGAGGCAGATGAAAACCTGGATTCTGTCCAGAGGAGTGAAGGGGTTGGAAGCCAGCACAATTGGTTCCAAAGTGAAGGACAAAAGCTTGGGGACAGAACCAGACTGGGGAGGAGGAAGCTGGTAGGAAGGGTGTGGTCACTGATAGGAAAGCTAGGAATAACAAACGAGTAGCAAAATGAGCGAGTGAGGGATGGGTGGTCTGGAGAAATTCTGGAAACTTATGGCAGATGCTTGCAAATGGCAGTGAAGCCACTTGTGTGGGTGAACAGGTGTTATTTAAAGAGATAGGAAATGACGAATGGCGGCAGTTCAGCTATTGCCCTTGACAGGGCTGCTTACCGTCAAGAGGACGTCATGGGCAACGTGGGGAGGCTCAACAGTACCGTGGGAAGGAGTTAGAGTTTAAGAATAGCCTGCCCGAGGCAAAGGAAACCTGTGTGTGTAAGGGGACTGCCGTGGAGGCTAGCCAGTGGGTAAGGGCTATGGCCTCTGGTGGCTGGGGCGATTATCTGAGGGGTCCCGAGAATTATGGGAGAGTCACTGCCGTGGTGAGCACAACATGACAGCAGTTGTGAGCCATCCTAGAAGGCCTTCCCCATTTGGAGCCAAACCATTTTTGTGCTATTCCTCATTTGCATCCTGTCTGTCCCTGAGGCTGGCGACCTGGGGAAACCTTCCTGTGGCACAGAGGAGAGGAAGGAGTGCCTGGAGTTACAACGGACACTCAGAGATGCTGGCTGTGCAAATTTAGCGGGTCCAGATTAACTAGAATGTGCTAGAGCCACTCCAGGTGAGTCAGCTTGACCTAACTTAATCAGTAAGTGATAGCAGAGGGCCCAAGAAAGACTTCATTCATATCAGCTCTTGGCTCTGGGTTGGTTAGTCCAATAACTAGAGGTGTTTCCTGATTTCTTCCAGGGACAGTTACGCATGTATTAGTGTAACCTGGACATTATCAAGCCTGCTTCCCTTCTGAGGCTGCTCTTTCCTTTGATACTCACTGTGGGATTACTATGCTCCTTAATGAATCCACCACCTCTGGCTGTGAACTCCAGCTTCCTGCTCGGTCCTTGCTGCTTGCTTTCTACCTTCCCACTGGAGGTAGCCAAATGACCTGTCTCCTTTCTGTTGCTAAACACCACTAACACAAAGCAGTTGCACATAACAGAGTTTTCTGAAGAGGCTGTGGCGGATGAGGGCAGACAGAGCTATTAGAGCCTGGGGCAGGAAATCATTTCAAATGCAACATTAGCCATCATTATTCCTAGAATTGCATTCGCCATTCCCTCCACAAGGAATTTCTCTCTGGGTCCCTCCTTGGCACTCTCAGGGTGCCCCAAAGCCAGGGTTTACTTAAAAAAGAGATCATGAAATATGCCATCCTTCTGTTCCATCCCATATACAGATGGCACTACCATTTACTAAATGCCAGGGACTTCACCCACCGTTTACATGATCTCATTTAATACTCCCAACAACACTGCAGGAGACACATTTATTTTACAGATGAGGAAACGGAGGCTCAGAAACGGTAACCTGGCCAGGGACACATGGCTGAGATTTGAACACAGTTCCACGTACTCTAAGTCCATGCTCTACACTGAGGCATTTGCTGCCTCCTTGCATAGCTGGCTTGTGCACATAGCCTTAGGTCGTCAGAATTCAAATCTATTACTCGCCTCTTAACTCAGCAAAGCTTTCTGTGGAGTCAGGTAAAAATTTCCCTGACATTTTTGTCCATGCAATTGAATCCTTTCCCCAACAGCTCTCTCCCAACAACAACACTCCTTCTCCTGAGATAATTTCACATCCACTCTGACCTCCTTTCCACTCCATTGTCCCCCCTCACTGCTCTTCTAGATAACTTTCTGCTGTCTCTACTCCTCTCCTCCCAATTTCTCTGCTTCATCAGCTCTTCTACAGAAAAGCCTCATTTAATACCAGGAACTTGGGGGCGCCTGGGTGGCTCAGTCGGTTGAGCGTCCGACTTCAGCTCAGGTCACGATCTCACGGTTCATGAGTTCGAGCCCCGCGTCGGGCTCTAGGCTGATGGCTCAGAGCCTGGAGCCTGCTTCCGATTCTGTGTCTCCCTCTCTCTCTGCCCCTCCCCCATTCATGCTCTGTCTCTCTCTGTCTCAAAAATAAATAAACATTAAAAAAAAATTAAAAAAAAAATACCAGGAACTTGGATTCATTTTCCCCACTTCCTTCTCGAAGCAGGTGAACCCAGCCCCATAGAAAAGGCAACAACAGGATCTTTAAATCTTACACGGAATCTCCCAGGTGTTTTCTTGGTGGCCCTAGGAGAGGACTCTTCCTAACCTGAAACTGTATCTTCTTCCTCTTATTTCCTTAGCCTTCTTGGAGCTGAGCTTGGCCCTCCGTTAAGCCAGGACACTCAGCCTGCCTGAATCTTCGTGACTCTTTAATTACGTCCTTGCCACTGGTTGGGATAACAGCCACAGATAAGGGAGCACACATTCAAATGGAGTTATGATGAAAACACTGAGGTTCCCCTCCCTGACCTTGCTCTGAAACACTGTAACAACACGAATCCACAGTCCAACATAGACCTTAAATCAGGCAATGGTGAAAACCAAGGACTCTGCCACCCAAACTAAATCTATACTCCTCCAAGCACTGAGAGATTTGGATTCGTGAACCAATCAAGAGATTACTTTGAGTACTTGTTTGGTATGAGGCACACTATCAGGGCAATTTTTCTTAAACAAAAGAAAGGAAAGGAAGAAAGGTACACTTCACTGATGGAA